AAAATACAAACCACTCCAAGCAACTCGTGGTTTTCTAACTCCTACTTGAAAGAGTCTACTTAATAGAGTCTGCTTTCAAGAACTCTTGTGCTAAGAGTTTTCTTTTCTACTGTTACAGGTAAGATTCATCTGTAGGAAAAGGTTACTGATTGCACAAGGTTTGATTTACTGTTGGTAATTATAAGGCATTTGATTAGTTAACCACTTGCTATTGATTGCTGTTTAATTAGCTATTGTCTGAAAATAAGCAGAGGCCTACCCAGGTGATAAACATTCCTAGTGGGTGGTGATTTTAGGAATTATATAAGGGCTGTTGTCATTAGCTTGGCTAATATAGCTTGGTTGCTTCATCTAAGTGTTGCTTCTAAGTGTGTGGTTGGAGATATTCTGGAGAGTTTTACAGAAACTTCAACTGTCTAAGAGTTGTGCTAAGAGTTTTCTTTTCTACTGTTACAGGTACGATGCAAGTCAAAAGGGAGGTGTGACTGGGGTTGTTTAGACAAAGTGATTTAACTTCTAAATTGCATAGAAATGAGAAGTGAAGATGCAGGGGCGTGATATATACGCCAAAACTGTTCCATCAAGCTAATGCTGTTTTGGTGCCTATAGTGTACCTTTAACGATGTTAAAAAAAAAAAAAAATTAAAAAAATTTGGATTGTTTAGCGATTCAAATTTTTTTTTTTTTTATGGAGAGATGTATACATTTATACACAGTGCAGTCAGTAAAATGTTATCTTGTAGCTTTGTCACCTTTTGGGGACCCCCGATAGTGACATTCATGTGCAGGGGAAGGTAGGTTTTCTTTATCTGAAACTGTACCTTGTGGCCATTGCCATCTTGTTCCAGCGCATCTCCCTTCATATGCCAGGATCCCATGTCAGTGCTCTACTTTGCAGATGTGCATGATGGGTGCATGATGGGTATATATATATGTTTTTATTTTGTATCTGGGCACTTAACCCCTTAAGGACGGAGCCAAATGTACACGTTGTGAACGAAACAAAATGTAAACAAAACCTGGCATTTGCGCTACATGTCTGTCTAACTGTAATTCACCTCTTTCATATTAAATACACCCACCCTTATTATATATCATTTTATTCAGGGGAAACAGGGCTTTCATTTAATTTCAAATATTTAGCTATGAAACATAATTTAATATGAAAAAAATGGGAGAAAATAAGATTTTATTTGATAATTTTTTTAGTTCTACGTGACATTTTAACGGTCAATGTCATAATACTGTTTGCTTTTACTGCAATAAAATACACATATTTGTATTCAGCAAAGTCTCACGTGTAAAACATTACCCCCTATGTACAGGTTTTATGGCGTTTTGGGAAGTTACAGGGTCAAATATAGCACGTTACTTTTGAAATTGAAATTCGCCAGATTGGTTACGTTGTCTTTTGGACTTTATAGTAGCCCATGTAAGAAATTTACACCCATAATGGCATATCATTTGTAATAGTAGACAACCCAAGGTATTGCAAATGGGGTATGTCCAGTCTTTTTTAGTAGCCATTTGGTCACAAACACTGGCCAAAGTTAGCGTTAGTATTTGTTTGTGTGAAAAATGCAAAAAACACCAATTTTGGCCAGTGTTTGTGACTAAGTGGCTACTAAAAAAGACTGGACATACCCCGTTTGCAATACCTTGGGTTGTCTACTATTGCAAATGGTATGCCATAATAGGGGTAATTTTCTTTCTTGGGCTACCATAGGGTCTCAAAGGCAACGTAACCAATCTGGCGAATTTTAATGTGGAAAAAAATGAAAACACAAGCCTTATATTTGACGCTGTAACTTTTGAAAACACCATAAAACCTGTACATGAGGGGTAGTGTTGTACTTGGGAGACTTCGCTGAACACAAATATTTGTGTTTGAAAACAGTAAAAAGTATCGCAGCAATAATATCGTCCGTGCGTGAAAAAGGCAAAAAAGTCACTTTTACTGATGATATCGTTGTAATACATTTTACTGTCTTGAAACACTTATATTTGTGTTCAGCGAAGTCTCCCGAGTAGAACAGTACCCCCCATGTACAGGTTTTATGGTGTCTTGGAAAGTTATAGGGTTAAATATAGTGATACAAGTAGAAAATGGATCAGCGCTGCGTGATTTACTGGGGAACTGAAAACAAATGGAGAGCTGCAACCTATAAGTATGAGGTTCCCTCTAAAGTCCTCAAAGAAGAAATGGCAAAAACAGGAATAATAGGTCGCGCTACAACAAATAAAAAGAGATTAAATATAATATATTGGCATACACTTAAAAACATAAAAATAAATATATAAATAATAGTCCAAATACTTGGTGCACTTTAGGTAAGTTCCAATGGATGAATGGAAATCTCATTACTTTGTCTGTTTCTCTTACTGGTTCCAGTAAATATATGAAGGTAGTATGTTCAGTGGAGAACTGGATCTTCTAATGTTAGAGTAGTCTTGACTCGATGATAACCATGGAAAATAAAGAAAACAGGGAAGATCCAATAGTGTAGATTGTCTATTAATAACTAAGAGTATGAAGAATAATAGGGAGGTAATACACTCACCTATTTCAGAGCATAAACTCGCTCTAGTATGTTAGGCATTCAGTGGCGTTTGTCCCCCACTGGTAGGATATAGGTGAAGATGATTCCTCAGTATGGAAAAAAGATAAAAGCAGAATATAGTGCTCACTGGATATAAATAAAATAAAATAAAAGAATAAAAGTACTCCCATTCGGATGAGCAGAATGTACTGCTCAATATAATCGCATAGGTGGTACAATCCCCACCCAGGATTCTTGGTCGTATGTAGGCTCCAAGATAAAATATAACCAGGTACCAGGAAATTGTAAAAATAAAATAAAAAAAGGTATACGGCAAAATTATAATATAAAAGCCAATATTCCTTTATTGATACAGTATAAAATATAAATAATAGCCAAAACGCGTTTTGCCACACAGGGCTTTATCAACTGGCAACTATTAAGGGGTTAAATAAACCTTTTGATTTGAACAGCTGTTAGAGATAAAGATTGTTTACAAGACCCTTAGTGTCATAAAGTGACACTGCTACTGTTGTAAACAAACCATGTGCGTTTGCTCTTATCATTTATCCCTGTGCATACATAACATGGCCACAATGCAAATTCTGTGGTGTTTTTACCTTTGTAACCACAGCATTCAGATACGCATTTGCATTCTAAGTGTGTTCCATAGTCTGTTAAAATTGTTTACAGCAGTTATGTTGGTGTTTGATTAAATGTCTTCCTCTTTGCTTGATATATTAAATATAGTTCATCTATATCTGCTCCCACCCTTTTTTCTTTCCTGCAGTAATTGTTAATAAGTCTGTCAGTTCTGTTGCACCCTCTATTTCATCATCTTCAGTCTCAATTTGTAGCCTGCCCCTTCTCTGAGTATATTACTAGGTCCGTACACAACTGTTAGGGTCAACACTAGTATTGATCACATGACCCATTTGTATGTTGTAATTGTAGCTATACATTTGGCGGGTTTCACCGAACTCTTTAACCCCTTGACGACCGATGACGGTTCAGGACAGTCATCGGAAACATCCCCTTGGGGACCGATGATGTTCCTGAACCGTCCGAACGGTCTGGGGCTACTTACCTGATCGCGGTCTGTCCCCCGGCGGCGAACAGAGAACAGACACCGCGGTGACCTGATCAAAATACACTTAGAATGTAATGATATATATGTATAAATAAAAATAATACGAAATATACATATATCCATATACATAATTACATAAATAATTTCATAAATATACACGTAGACGTCATATATATATATATATATATATATATATATATATATATATATATATATATATATATATATATATATATATATATATATATATATATTTATTTTAAAATTCTACACATGTATTTGTAATATTTTTACCTAATTAAGTAATTTTTATGATTGCAATTTGAGGGACCTGCCTGCCAACCCAGGCCGAAAGTCCAGAGAATTTAATTTGCTAGCACTGTGTTTAGCCCTGTAACTTTCTATGACACCCTAAAACCTGTACATGGTGGGAACTGTTTTACTTGGGAGACTTCACTGAACACAAATATTAATGTATCACAGCAATAATATCATCAGTGAAAGTGACGTTTTTTGCATTTTTCACACACAAACGGCACTTTCACTGATATTATTGCTGTGATACATTTTACTGTTCTGATACACTAATATTTGTGTTCAGCGAAGTCTCCTGAGTATAACAGTACCCCACATGTACAGGTTTTATAGTGTTTGTGAAAGTTACAGGGTCAAATATAAGGCTTGATTTTTTTTATTTTTTTTTATTGAAATTTGTCAGATTAGTTAGGTTTCCTTTGAGAGCGTATGGTAGCCCAGGAATGAGAATTACCCCCATGATGGCATACCATTTGCAAAAGAAGACAACCCCCAAGGTATTGCAAATGGGGTATGTTCAGCCTTTTTTAGTAGCCACTTAGTCACAAACACTGGCCAAAGTTAGCGTTTTTTGCATTTTTAACACACAAACAAATATAAATGCTATCTTTGGCCAGTGTTTGTGACTACGTGGCTACTAAAAAAGACCGGACATACCCCATATTGGATACCCTGGGTTGTCTAGTTTAAAAAAAAAAAAAAAAAAATGTACATGAGGTGTGATTCGGTGATTTATGACAGATAACTGTGTTACAATGTCACTATTGATAAATTTAATATATAGATATAGATATAGATATATATATATATATATATATAGATATATATATATATATAGATAGATAGATATATATATAGATATATATATAGATATATATAGATAGAGATACACACACAGCAATTTCCTACTTGTATTTATAGGCCTATAACCTTCAAAATAAAGCATGTAAACACTGGGTGTTTTTAAACTCGGGACCAATTTTTTAATCTATTTAGCAGTTTTTTTTCATTAGCTTTTGTAGATAAGTAAAAGATTTTTCAAGTAAAAGTCCAAAAACATGTTTGTGGTTTTTTTCTTTCTTTCTTTTTTTTTTTAAATTAAATATGACATGATACAAATAATGGTATGTAAAGAAAGCCCTTCTTGTCCTGTCCTGAAAAAAACAATATATAACTTGTATGGGAACAGTAAATGAGAGAGTAAAATTACAGATAAACACAAACACCACAAAAGTGTCAAAACTGCTCTGGTCCTTAACGAACAACATCGCAAAAACAGGCCGGTTTTTAAAGGGACACCGTAGGCACTATATCTGCTTCATCTCATTAAACTGGTTATAGTGACCCAGAGTTTTTTTTTGTTTTTTATGTAGAGACCTTTTTAAAGCGAATCTAAACAGCATGCATCCGATTTGAAGGACTAGAGACCCATAAAGTTAACACTCATAAACAAGTCTCTCTTAACAAATTTATATTTGTAAGATCTGACTGTATGGCAGGATTAATTAATGTATTTCTTCTCTCTTTTTCTGGCCTTTGCAGTCTCCTGTAGCTAATGCTGTTTGAAATTATTTTGCCGGACTATTTTGTGTGCCATCATTTTAATTAAATTGAGCAACAGGCATGGCATTTTAAATCAAAAGGTTTTAAAGTAGAAAAAACAACTGATATGATTTGCCTACAACCACCTTTTTCTTGCTGTTTCTAGATAGTATTTTGGGAGTCTGGGGCTATTTTGAAATAACTTGGTTCAACGACCCAGTACCATAAAATGTGAAAATAAGTGCAGTTTTATTTTTAGAAGTAAATGTAGCTGCAAACGTAGAAGTAAAAGTGGATGTACTGCATTTGGATGAAAACTATTTTTTTTTTAATAAATATACCGTTTTCTACCTTCACACCTGTGAGCTACTGCTTAAAGGAACACTATAGTCACCTAAATTAATTTAGCTAAATAAAGCAGTTTGTGTATAGATAATTCCTCTATTTCATTGCTCAATTCACTGTTATTTAGGAGTTAAATCACTTTGTTTTTGTTTATGCAGCCCTAGCCACACCTCCCCTGGCTATGATTGATAGAGCCTGCATGAAAAAAAAATAAAAAAAAATGGTGTCACTTTCAAACAGATGTAATTTACCTTAAATAATTGTATCTCAATCTCTAAATTGAACTTTAATCACATACAGGAGGCTCTTGCAGGGTCTAGCAAGCTATTAACATAGCAGGGGATAAGAAAATCTTAATTAAACAGAACTTGCAATAAAGAAAGCCTAAATAGGGCTCTCTTTACAGGAAGTGTTTATGGAAGGCTGTGCAAGTCACATGCAGGGAGGTGTGACTAGGGTTCATAAACAAATGGATTTAACTGATAAATGGCAGAGGATTGAGCAGTGAGGCTGCAGGGGCATGTTCTATACACTAAAACTGCTTCATTAAGCTAAAGTTGTTCAGGTAACTATAGTGTCTCTTTAATATATTCACAGAAATATAAAATATTTGAGTATTTAAGGTAACTTTTTGATAAAAAAAAAAGTGTGTGTGTGTGTGTGTATATATATATATATATATATATATATGTGTGTATATATATTTATATATATTTGTGTGTGTATATATGTGTGTGTGTGTG